TTTAAGTAACAAAAAAATAAAAAAATTTCAAAAAATGTTGAAAAAACACCATACAGGAGAGTTGCACAAAAAAAGCTACAATTTTGCAACAGGCACAGCAAATCACACATTTTTTACTCACCCTGTATATATATATTCATTTGATCGTTTGGTCCACTAAACTTGAACACTTTGTGGTAATGAATTAGCATTATGCAAGGCCCTCAACTTATATTGAGTTGGTTGAGCTCTCTGGTCAATATTTCATTACCAGCTGTGAATAACGTGTTTGATCCGTAATCCAAGGAATCATGGTTCAAGCCCCGCCAACTGCAAAATCAAAACTGATGAAACGAGCCATACTTCTAATAGGACGAAACACTTTGTCTATGGATTTATATATATATATATATATATATAGTAGTTTAATCTTTTTTTCAGTTTAAATATTCATTTTAGATGTATATATATATACATATATATATATAGTAGTTTAATCTTTTTTTCAGTTTAAATATTCATTTTAGATGTTTAAATAGATACATATATATAAACCTGAACTTTGGAATATAAACCAAGGATAATACTGTTTATTTATGTATATTTGAATATATTCCCTGGAATATAAACCAAGGAATGTTTATTTATTAACATGAAACAAGGTTAATAAATCTTCTGACTTGAATCCTCCAATGTATTGTAAAGTGCATGTTAAGTGTTACCATTAGTCCTAGTGCATTAAAGTTGCTGATTCTGCAGATAAAAATAAGAAAACCCAAACCTGTGCACACAATATAGTGAACTTTTAGTCTCTGTGCACAAAATATAGTGAACTTTTAATCTCTGTGCACACAATATACTGAACTTTTAATCTCTGTGCACAAAATATAGTAAACTTTTAATCTCTGTGCACACAATATAGTGAACTTTTAGTCTCTGTGCACACAATATAGTTATCCTAAAAATCACAAACCCAGTATTGATTCCATCATATAAATTGTTCGGGTTTAGGTAACTCTAAATTTTACAGTTTCATGATTACAGTAGGTTTTTCCTTATTCTTATGTTCTTTTATTTATGTTAAGAAAATTACTTAAAAATGTAAATTGTTTTTCTCCTGTGAAAGTTTAGATCAAAGTAATATATTTAAAAGCCTATGTAAGCTAATGTTTCTAAAAGAGCTTTGTCAGACTAGACAATAAATAGATTAAAGAATTAGGGTTTCCAGTTTCAACCGATATTTTTTTCCCAAAAGGATTTAAGTCTCTGTCGCAAATTCTGATTTTCTAATTCCTAATTCTTTCCAACCCAATGTTATAACATATATATATATAAAATTTTGCCAAAACAACAGTTTGCCTGTATAACAGTTTGCCTGTCTAACAGTTTGTCTGTATAACAGTTTGCCTATATAACAGTTTTTATTTAAGTGTCTTTTTCGCCTAAACCATAATTTTTTTGAAACACTCACAAACTTTGAAACAGAAAACCCGCTAAACTGATTTAAAAATTCCGCAAATTCAGTCATATTTCTTCTCTTGAAAATATGGCAGCACTTAACAAAGCTGGAGAATCTTAAAGAAGTACTAGGCGAATGTGTACTAGGCGAATGTGTACTAGGCGAATGTGTACTAGGCGAATGTGTAGTAGGCGAATGTGTGCAAGGCAAATGAGTTCTATGCGAATGTGTACTAAGTGAATGTGTACTAGGCGAATGAGTACTAGGCGAATGTGTAGTAGGCGAATGTGTAGTAGGCAAATGTGTACTAGGCGAATGTGTACTAGACGAATGTGTACTAGGCGAAAGAGTACGAGGCGAATGAGTACTAAGCGAATGTGTTCTAGGCGAATGTGCACTAGGCAAATGAGTACTAGGCGAATGAGTACTAGGCGAATGTGTACTTGGCGAATGTGTACTAGACGAATGTGTACTAGGCAAATGTGTACTAGGCGAATGAGTACTAGGTAAATGTGTACTAGGCGAATGTGTACTAGGCGAATGAGTACTAGGCGAATGAGTACTAGGTGAATGTGTACTAGGCGAATGAGTACTAGGCGAATGTGTACTAGGCGAATGTGTACTAGGCGAATGAGTACTAGGCGAATGAGTACTAGGTGAATGTGTACTAGGCGAATGAGTACTAGGCGAATGAGTACTAGGCGAATATTTACTAGGCGAATGTGTACTAGGCGAATGTGTACTAGGCAAATGTGTACAAGGCGTATGAGTACTAGGTGAATGTGTACTAGGCGAATGTGTACTAGGCGAATGAGTACTAGGCGAATGAGTACTAGGCGAATGTGTACTAGGCAAATGAGTACTAGGCAAATGTGTACTAGGCGAATGTGTACTAGGCGAATGACTACTAGGCGAATATGTACTAGGTGAATGGGTACTAGGCGAATGTGTAGTCGGCGAATGTGTACTAGGCGAATGTGTACTAGGCGAATGAGTACTAGACGAATGAGTTCTAGACGAATTTGTACTAGGCGAATGTGTATTAGGCGAATTTGTACTAGACGAATCTGTACTAGGCGAATTTGTACTAAGCAAAATGTTACTGACCCATTTCAAGGTATGTGTTGTTGGAAGATCAAATAATCTGAGTTTGAAATGTCAAAGGCGTACATTATCAGGTCACAAAGAAATAGAGGTCAGAAAATTTTAGTTTGTGGTCTTTTTGTCCAAATTCCGCCCAACAGAATTAAGATTTTGCAACAAACTCAGATTTTCTTTGCAACCCAAACTAAAAATTCTGTTAGATAAATGGTCTAAAGTTTTAAATATAAAAGATTTATGCCATCCGGTTGCTATTACATATGGATTACAAAATTTGAGTTTATGGCATTAGCACATGACCACAGACTTTTGAGTTTTTGGGCCATAAGGAAAACAGAGATGGGGTGTTCTAGGTTCTGGTATTTATTTTTCACGAAATTGTGTATTTATGGTTTGTCTAAAATCTTGTACTGCGGCCGGATTTAACTTAAGATGTATTGCAGAAAGTTTAGTTAATAAAGTTAATGTAAGTTTGGTGTAAGCTACTAAATCTAGAGGATAGGGGTGTGCAATAAAACAATACATTCTAACGAACATTTAAAATCATTATAATTATTAATTATAATTGCCTTTAATTTAGAAATATAAATATCAAAATTTCTCTTTTTAAATAGAAGAGTCTTTAAAACTGTTAAAAACTTTTCGTTTGGCCCTTTTTTACCACATAAATATGGATCTTTTGTATGTTATCAAATACACTGTTTTTCACAGGAAGGGCGGTAACTGATAAAGGGCACTTTAAAATCTTTCAGTGACTGTTTAGTGTTTGTTGTGCTTTATGTTTCAAATAGGAATGTTTATAAAATTTAATTTACCCTTTTTCTTATATAATTTTAATGTGAGATGAAACACAAGACTAAGTTTATTCTAATAAAGTCTGAGCCGGGAACTTTTGTGTAGGATCCTCATAATCCTGATCGATTGATCTCAATATCCACTGTGGGCAATTTTAATTTTAGGATCTATTTAAAACTATACCTTTCCATATCTTTATTTTAGCTATTCCTCCCCTGATCAATACGTGCTCACGTCAACACCGTACGATTACCATGCTGGATACCGCGATTAAAGATTTAATTAATATGAAGATTTACAACAGATTTAGATCAGCATAGATCTCGATATCCACGATACAAGAGTTCCCATCTCAAGATGCATCTAGCTCTATAGTAACCTCCAGTGTTAAATAAACCTTCTGATTACAATGACGATTTTAACGATGAATATTCTTTGCTGTTTGCTTCAGAGTTGGAAAATGGAAAAACAAAGGAATTGTGTCTTTGCTACAAACTTATCTTATTTAAACTTATTTTCTTATCCTTATATCTTTACAACAAAATGTCATAGACCTTAGATATTTCAAACTATCAATTATGTTATTTCAAATAATATAAATTTGAAAAATCAAAGGTTTACAACAACAGGTTGCAAAGATGCAAAGATACAAAAATTTGAGTTTGTTGCAAAAACTGAGTTCCTTTAAAAAGTTATATTTTGTTGGTGAAAGCAGAAAATATTCCCTTGATAAAATGGTGTGTACTCTAGAGAGCTAATTCAATGAAGTACTAATGAAGCACTAGAAATAATTTGATTAATTTCATCTAATTGGCTGGATAGCTAAATAAAAAGGTAAAAAGAATATTAAATGAATTGAAATAAAATGTAAAGCTTAATAAACAAAATTTTGGCACCTTTTTATCTCTAGTTATATTAAAATATGAATTGAACTCATTAACAAAAAAAAATAGAATGCGATTAAGATTGTTTTTTTTTTGTCGTTTTTATTCAATAATTTAAAGAATACCGATTCTCAAAACGTAACCACCCAAATGGACGATTTTGAACGTGGTCAGCTTTACGCTTTAACTCAGTAATTATACATCATTAAAATGTTTTATATGACTCAAATGAATCCTAAAAAATTTCTCCACAATAATACATTCTCAGTTAACCATTTGCCGGTCATCATACTCCCTTTAAGAGGTTCCACAAAAATTTGAGAATTTTTACATTGTTTATTCTAAATATTTTCTTTCCATATTGCCAAATATTAAATATGAGAGAAGATATACGTGAAGAAACAAAAGATTGTATTCAGTTAATTTTGGCCTTGTACTTTCTCAAGATAATAATTTGGAATAGCAAACTGTAGGAACCTTTCTAGATTCAGTGATGCCTTTAAATACAGGGTGTCCCAAAAAACATGGGAATTCAGTGACGAATTCGATATCGTCTTTGTTATGAATTAGCATTGTAATACCTAATTTCAAAAGCCATGAAACTCTTACAGATTACAGCTTTCTCAGTAGGTATCACTATACAAAATCGAAGAATTATTTGAAAAGACGATATCGAATTCGTCACTGAATTCCCGTGTTTTTTGGGACACCCTGTAGCATAAAAACCTTTAAAGTAAAAAAAAAACTAATAAAATTACTGATGTCTATCTCTCATGGCGTACCTGTGATATTCTTGTTGAGCCAGAACAGGGCACAGCTGTGACGTAACTACGACCCTGATACTGTTCTGAAGACCACGTGGTGTGGTGCAGTTGAATGTTCCAGAATCCTGGGAAATAAAACCGGTTTTACAAGTTTCTGAAATAGCAGGGAAGACAGTTGCAGGTAACTGATACTTTCAGCTTCAGAGTTTGAATTTATCAACTTTTGGCATCTTAATTTCAAAATATAATATCCTGGGCCTCTTAAGGCTCTCATATGTATTTGTGTTAGTTTCTCTACAATAGTTCGTGTCTTGAATATATAGATTTGAAAATTTGAGTTTGTGTCAAAGACACAATTCCTATAAGAATTCAAACTTTAGATCATGTTTACATTCAGGTTATTTTAAGTCATAAAAAGCATCCTAAAGCAACACCCATCTACTTATCCTATCTATTTTTCACCAACCTGTTCTTTAGCGTAGACAATACTGATCCTAAACTTCCAGTTTCTGTATTCAGCTGATGCCAACCATCCAGTAGGGTAGTCCCTAGTCAGTAGTCAAAGCTTGGAATTTATAACCATACGGTTTAGTTTGAAATTAATTTAATTATTTAGGCCAAATTAATGGAAAATTTCGCAAAATTACTTTGTAGAAAATACGGCGTAATTTTGCAAAATTGAAGTTTCGCTAATTATGTGAAATTATTACAAAAGTTCACGAAATCACTTTATAGAAATTATGCAAAATTACACCATAACTTCGCGAAATTGAAGTTTCGCCAATTTCGTGTAATCCTGCGAAAATACACGAAATGAAAATTATTTCGTGCAACTGCATGTTATTTCGCTTAAGTGAATAATCTATTATTTTGGAAACCCTATTAGGAAATCTGACATTAATTTCTATTTTTTTTAGTAAATTTAAAGGGAGTGACCAGCAATGTACGGTAGTTAAACTGAATATGTTGTTAAAAAAATTTAGAATTCATTTGAGACATTGCTAACAAATTCATAGAAAATAGAAATTCAATATAATGATAAAAACGAAATGATTGATTTAAACATTGATTTATTGACCAATTTCTTTTGAGAAATATGTTCCTAAACATCTAATTAGTTTACTATAGAATTTTTACTGTATTTGTCGTTGTTATTTATTAACATAAAAAAGACGATTCTGTCCCCAATACTAAATTCATGATTTTGAACGTTGACTTTGCACTCAAAATCAATAAATATACATCGTGGAGACGTGTTTTTTATCAACTGAATCTTAAAAAATTTGTCCACAATACTACATATCCAGTTCAACCACCATACATTGCCGGTCACTCCGGCCCTTTAAACAGTATCTTAAATATATTATAGATATTTTTCTGAAAAAATTATGCCATTTTCATGTATACTTAGCGTCCTGACGCAAAAAAAATCATTTGACAAGGCACTATAACTGTAAAGTGGAATTTCTCCCATCCCCCCCCCCCACTATAAAAAACTATAATACGTCTCAGATATCTTCAAAAGAGTCTTTAAAAACATGTCTCGACTCTCGTTTACATAGAGTCAACGGAGCAACTGTATAGAAGTTAATGAAACCAACTTGCAAACCTTTAAAACAAGTTTATCCCTCTCTTAACAAGCGTTTTCTTCAAGTTTCAACTCAGTTTAAATCCTATTGGAAAACTTTTCTTTCAAAGTTTGGAGTAATAAACCAAATTTTCTTCTAAATTCAAAATCCTGAATTTCACCATTAACGGCTAATATACTGAAAAATGAGATTGATTGATGGATGAATTTTTAATAGTTAAATCATTTTTGGGGTTTCTAAAACTAGTTTATCTTTTTTTCTAAAATCAAAAAAATGTTTTTACTCAAAAATATTGCATTAATAAATGGAATCAGTTGTCGCGCACTTCTAATCTATTTATAGTTAAAAGAGTTGCATATTGCAATTGTCTATTTGATTGGAGGGGTACAGACTACAGACAGACCAACCAGAAGTACTCAATTATCTTTTAATGGTCCATACTAGTTTATTTTTACAAGTTGCTTCTTTTCAGAGTATTGAAAAAAAATCCACACAACATGATCTCTGGAATGTAAAAAAAAAGGTACAGGGTTTCTCTTGGAGAAAGAGGGACAGCCGTGTTTATCTCCTCCTTATGTCAGAGAGAATTAAATGTAACTTGAAAAAAAACACTTGAAAAGATAAGATTTTTGATTACCTGTAATTGTGTGACCAACTCCATTGTGGGGTTCCTCTACGTCTAAATAAAAAATCTATAAATTTTATAAGACAATAACAATTTAACTGTCTCCATCAAATAGATTGTCAAGTACAATAGATGGCAATGTAGAATTTGTACACTCTCAATACAGCTGTATTCTGACATCACAAGTGTCAACTCAGATTTTGTGTCCGACAAAATTATTAATAATAGTGATAATTTTAGACTAAGTAAAATAAGTGTAATTTTATGTGTTATTTATTTTCTTTTTGTACACTTTTTTATTTAATCTTAGAAAAAATGTCAACTAATGTGAGAAAATTTTGTTTTCCTTGTTATATTAGACTCTTGTGACGTCATGTATAATTGGTCCATATCTCTGTTGCCACCTATTTTACTTGATAACCTATTTGGTCTCCATGATTGTTACAAATGTATTAAATATTAACACAAATGACTTGATTCTTTGCCAAATACTAAATTGTCTAATCCCTATATCCTTGCAACCACATGATCTATACTTTTTACATTTTGAAACTTAGATTATTTTTTCTAACAATATTAAGTTCGAAATATCTAAGGTCTGCAAAGATATAGGAATTAGAAAATCAGATATATATTGTGGCAAAACTCAAATCTTTTCAATTTAATTGCAAACCTTCATGTATTTACAGAATCGTTAAAGAATGAATATAAATTACAAGAAACAGAAATGTACATCCTTTTGATTAACCACATCCACTGATGTCGGTGTCTGTAGCGTAAACTTTCTACTTGAAGGATTTAAAGGAATTGAGTTTTTGATTTTCTAATCCCTGTATCTTATTTTTTTGGCTGACGACTGATCGTGCGTTTTGAACATATTTAGAATACAACAGTTTTGATCTCTGGATCTCTGGACTCTGTACTTGTACCTATCAAATAAGCAGTCTAGGTGAAGGATGGTTCCTGGATATATTATCAGCTCACCCTGCCTTCCTCTACTATACTTCATGCTTCCTGTAGACCAATCAATGCTGGGAGATCTCCCTTCTAAACAATTTGAAAATCACTTTTAATTTTCAAATAATATAACAATTAAAGGCATACTCTCCCTTCTAACATTAAAATCAATCACTTTTAAATTTCAAATAATAAATTCATTGTTTAAAATATCAAAGGTCCTTGATACCAATTGCTTTTGTTGTAATAATTAATAAAAGGATATTTTTTTCTTAAAGTAAAAATTTAATTCTAAAAAATTAAAAAGGGAAATAACGCATGAAACGTAGCCAATCCCAAATCAAAATATTTTTTTGCACATATGGAGGGTAAAATATTTTTAATTTAAGAATAATGCTTTAATGTTAATTAAGAGAATCTACAGCTTACAGTGAATAGAATTTAATACTTTGTATTTAACCTTCTCCTTTGAAATCTGTAATTCAAACTTTATAATTAAATGTTGCTAGATTCCAGATTCTAAATTCTAAATTTGTAAATTTGAAAATATAAATCTGGATAATATTTATTTCCTAACTAATGCAGAAAGTCAATCTCAATTTCTGGTAAAGATAAAACTATTTTTAAAAAAGAGACGACATGCTGTTAAATCTCAAATGTTTTTTTAATTTCAGGCATTTCTTTCAATACGTTCAACAAGATAAAAATGTACTGTCCGTTTATATTGAAAAAATGTGGGTCTGATCGCTTTTTGGAGGCCCAAATTTTTGTAGTAACTCACAATACCCAAGGGATGACTTGGCAAAACTTTTATTGGCTAAAAATGTTAGATATCAAGAAAAAAACATGGCAGCGAAATATTTCATTTGTCGATTTTTGATAGTATTCACAAAAGATGGCTGCCGTTATATATATAGTCTGTGCAGTAAATATTTAAACCTTTGATAAATTTAATCTGAGCTGTATAAAGTTTGAAACTTAGCATTCTTTTCTATTTTTAAGAATATATAGATAGTTTTCAAACTTCATGATATATGTAATATGTATGCACTATGCAGGAATCCTGAAATGCATTAGAAGTGCACTGTAACCAGATTTTGGTCAACTTTTAACTTATGTCTTATATTCTTATTTTAAGTTTTTTAAAGAATTATAAATATTCTCTCACGTTCATATTTTCATGGTCCTGTTTTTAGTTGTTTCTATACTCTTGGAAGTATGTAATGTCATGTAAAGTAACGTTAATGCATGGATACAGAAGTTAAATAAATTGGAAAAATGAAATCATACACTGTTGAAGAATTTGCTAACCTTATAAAAGAGTAAGAGGTTTTTGTTTTATAGTTTAAATATGGTTTTGAGAATCTAATACACAACAGCGAAAATGTAACTTTGAAAGCCTTCCAATTCTACTCCTTCTGTAATATCCATCATATTAAATAGAACCTGTCTGTTCCTTGAAACAATAAATTATTTATTCTATTTCCAAGATGCTGGATTTAGAGAGTGGGGGAGTGCTTAGATATGGGTGGAAGAGTAAGGTACAAAGATGGAGGGAGGGAAGGGAAAATGGATTGAGGGAGGGATAGATATTTGGATGAGTGGGAGGGGCAAAAACATGAATAAGGGGGACGGGTACATAGATATTAATGAGGGGGGGGGGAAATAAATGCAGGAGGGGGGATTACAGGAGATAATAATGAGGGAGGGAGCTAACAGTGTTGGGTAAAGACATGAATAGAGGGAAAGATGGGTACATGCAAAAGGTAAGTATGAGATAACAATGAGGGAAGAATGGATGGGAGATATGGATGGAAGGAGGGAGATATGGATGGAATTAGGGAGATATGGATGGAAGGCGGAGATATGGATGTAAGGAGGTATAATGGATGAAAGGAGAAAGATATGGATGGAAGAAGGTAGATATGGATGGAAGGAGGGAGATATGGATGGAATGAGGGAGATATGGATGAAAGGAGGGAGATATGGATGGAAGGAGTGAGATATGGATTGAAGGAGGGACACATGGATTGAAGGAAGGAGATATGGATTGAAGGAGGGAGATATCAGAGTTTGCAGAACATGAAAGGAAAGGATAGACGTAAGAGAAAAAACAGATGAATATTCTGAAAACAAGAAGAATTTTTTTTGTCTGATGGAAAAAAGGACGCAATTCAATTGGGTCTCAGAGTTCCATTTTCCTTAAACCATTAGCTAGTCAACGTAAATACGACTGAATTTATTGTCCATCTAAACTCAATAGTTATAGATTAAGGATAAGAATGCAAGATCAGCCCACGTAAAACAAGTGTTCACTATAGTTTATAGGGTACACCCACATGGTAAGGTATTAATGATAAGACGACGGCGCAACACAAAACGTTTTAATCAATTTTAAGTAAAACAAAAATAAAAAGACTTCGATAATGAACTGGAAACAGATAAATTATTAAAGAAAAGAAGATGGAGGAAGATTGATGGATGCAAAAAGGGGAGCAGTACTTAATTTTAAAGTATTATTGGGTGAAGTTGACAAAATGTGTAACATTTTTTTTTCATTACTTTTTTGAGAATCCATGTAAACATATTTCTTTAAAATAAATTTATTATATAAAGTTAGATGTCACGAAATTTATTACAATTTTTTGCTGGACTTGTGAGAAAAAGTAAATTTATGATTTAGTTATTCAAACAAAACAGTGCACTAAATTTCCCATAGTTTAAACTCATAATTCTTACAAAGTAATCTCACTATTCATGAATGTCATACATTGGAGCATGAAAAACGAAAAAGCGAAACACTAGTATTTAAAATCTTTTACTGTCATGAGTAAGCTACTTTGGAATATAATCCAGCAGTAAGTTATTGTAGAACTAGACCAACATCTTAGATCAGGTAGTTTTACTGTCAGTTCAACGATTTATAGAAAGACTTCAGTTCACTAAATTTTTTTATCGTGATTAGATTTTTTTTTCTGGTAGTTATTTTTAAAGATTGGAAAGCAAACAAGTTCCAGGTCGTTTTTGAGCTTTTTAATTACATTCAGTGGTCGGCCATTATATCAATACAACGAAGACGACTTTTATTAATTCATGTTTTGATCCCTAGCAAGCATTTTTCAAATTACAAGTTTCCAAGTTAAAAATGAGAAGCTGTTAATTGATAACTTCTCTCTGTTGACATGTTTGTGTCTCTGCTGTTGAAAGGATTGGTAAAATCAATCAAAATTGTAATAGAAAGCTGTCTTCATTGTATTAATATATCAACTAGGATTAAATTATGACATCAGTTTACCCCAACCCCCCCCCCTCCTCCTTCAGTTCTCTGTGTTGGCAAGATATTTGTGATTTTGTTTCTTATTATTATTGGTTTGTATTGAGTATATTTGCTTACCAGGCTGAAAGACTGTAGCTGTATACTCAACCTGCAGAAACGTTGAACAAAACTCTTTTTTAAGGGTTTATTTATTTTAAAGGGATTATAAGCATTATTTTAAGAGACCTTATACATTCAAAGATAACAATGCCCGATGTACAACGGTACTTGTAAAACCTTTATCTGATCTCGAAATGTGTTCATTTCTGTAAAGGAATTGAGTCTTTGCAACAAATCCCAATTTTCAACTACCTATATATCTACAACCAAACTACGTAAACCTTTGATATTTCAAACTTTGATTGTTTGATATAACAGAAGTCATAGTCTAAGGTCTACAACATTGGGTTGTTAAGATATAGGGATTTAAAAACCAGAGTTTGTGGAAAAGACTCAATTCCTTTCTCCATCGTTTCATATAAGCTATAATAAACAAAGGTTTTAAGAATACCCTTGAAAATCGAGCATTGCCATCTTTGTATGGAGGGTCCTTAGCTTTGAATTATGCAGTGTTTGGTTTACATAAACCGAAGCCAGAAAATTTTGCGTATAATAATCAATGAACCCAGCAGAGAACGAAAAGAGAGGGTTAAGTAGAAAATCAAAAATGTCCATAGTGGATACTGGATATTGATATTAAGCGAACGGAAATAAGGTTTTCCAGCTCGGGTTTCATAATATTACCATCTTTAGTACCCGTACACCAGTATTTATCCAATAAACATCTCCTTATATAAGAGTACTATACAGGATATTACTGGAACTGTCGACCTAATCTAAACTTACAGATTTACAGATAATTTATATAGTTTAAGATTGCACTAAAATTGTTCAATAAATACCAATATTGTTAGATCTTCTTAAATAGAAAGGTTTTAGATTTAGAAACAAAAATCATCAATCATGAAATTCTTTAACCGAAACTTTTTGTAAAAACATTTTTAGAATGTCTAAGATGTTCTCCTAAAAAGGAGAATTTGTGAATTAAAACATCTTCAATTAAATTTCTTGTTTACAAAAAGTTATAGAATCAGATATAACAAAAGAAAAGTGTTGATAGGAAACACTTTTAACATGTTTTGATTTTATTGTACCCCACTATATACATATATATACATTGATGGTGGAAGTTTACCAATATTTTATACAACTTTTACCAACCAATGGATATTTACAACTACCAACAAAAGAAACTGTCAAAAAAACTTTGTACAACTATTGCTTTTCTCCCGCTTTCTAACCTAACAAAATCAGAAGTTTTCTGCAAGTTAGGTTATGGTATTTCTCCAAAATAAAATCACGTGAAGCAAAGAAAAAAAAGGAATATTCGAGAGAGTAACATTAATAATTTGGTTGAATTGATAAAATGTTTGGACCAAAGGTAAATTTCAACAACAGTAATGTTTTTTTTAAATGGGATTGCATGTTTTTATAATGAGGGGAGATCTGTTATAGACAGCTACGAAAAGTATGCATCAATTTTTAAGACCGTTACACAATTTACATGCTGTAACGCTTTTACTTTAGGTTTTACCTTACTAACATTTTTAGTTCTAGACATTTTAAAACTGCAAAGCATTTGTTTCCAGCTTTAGGTTGATAAACGTAAAAAGGCAAATGCTCATTGATTTTTCACATGTTGGTTTGTTATCACCGGAAAGTGAAAAGCAATGAAGGTTAAGATTTTTAATAGTAATAATTATTATTGTTATAT